CCATTTGTAGCCCCAGCCCTGGATCACTGGTTATTGGTACATTGAAGGTAGAAGGAAAGTACAAAGAAGATGGTACTGGGTAGAGGACTCTTCCTCTACTTCTCAGTTTGCTCACTGCTATCCCTACGTTTAAGAAGGCAAAAGCAACAAGGAAGCAAAAGACAATGGAGATTGATTTTTTAATTCAGAAGTCATAGGCATCAGATAATCTCCCTTTCTGTAATGATAGTTTAATTTAAAAACAGCTTAAGGCTGGCTTTGTCACTGAATGCAAACAAGTCTCTTCCCCAGGGATTAACAGGGGATCATACACGTCAGGCAGTATCTGGGGCACATGTCCTGTGCTTGGAATTTTCCGGGAGCGGCCAGAATGGGTTGAACAGCTGTGAGGTCTTTCAGAGAACAATCTGCATGTACTCTTGCTGCTAAAGTCAGTTGTGTGACCTGAGTTGCCGAATTAATGTTTAAAAACAGCTTGGTACTGGCTTTGTCATTGAACACGATTTGCCTCATTCATGAATTTATTTTTGCTGCGTGCCCTGCTTCCTGAAATAAACCAGCTAGAGTTCTCTGTGAATGATAGAGGGAGGGAATGCACAAGACTGAACACCTTGGATTGTCTATTGTACCCACCCTCAAGTCTGATGGTTGCCAAAACCAAACATGGCCACACCAAGTAGCCTTAGAAGACTCCTGGGACACAGACTCATGGTGTCCTCTGCCTGGCTTATGGTACTAAGATCCAGCCCACCACAGCCCACTCCAGGCCTGCCCTGAACTGGGATAAAGATTCAACTTCCACCACCCCAAACACCAGTGCAGCATTTCCTTCCAGGTTGGAGACCCACGGGGCTTCTTCTCAAGGCCTCCAGGTCTACTCCTATCTGAAACTGACCTTCTCCTACTGCTCTGATGATGCCCGGGCCCACAGAGCCTCAAGCAGTGGAATTCTTCTTCCATGGTAGCTTTTCAAAACTCACCAAGATTTTCTTAGCTTTTTCCAATCACACAAATGTTTGTTCTGCCCTCATGTAAATGAACTGCTTTCGTTTGTAGACTAAAGAAGCAGTCCTCCCTCCCTTCATTAGACCACGATCTGAAGTGCTGTCTTCAAAGGGGTTGCACTGTTATTATCTCTGTTGTACAGAAAATGAAACGGATGCACAGAAGATAAAATTGCCACAATACCTTGGTTAATAAACTCAATTCTCTCCACGATTCTGGTCGCAAATCGAACTGGACACAAACCACATCTACCTTCTCCATAAGGTCGACATCCTATCTAACCACTGAATTTGATTCGGTTCTCATCTAACTTGGTTTGCAACCAGAATTGCCGAAAGAATCGAGTTTGTGAACTGAAGTACCGCTGTAATCACGCAGTAAATAACAGCCAGGCCAAACTCTGATTTCCAAATATCCCCAGCTCGAGAGCCCAGGTCTTTAACCAAACGCAAGAACTAACGTTTGTGCCTTCACATCTGACCAAGAGGTTTAGAAACGAGTTGCTTCAACTATGACATGAATGAAGAGCTCAGGGAGTGATTGAAGATGAACAGAGGTCCAGGGGACATGTCTGCCCTCCCCCAAGCGAAGCCCCAGGACACTAAAGAGGAGTAGCCTTTATAGACCAAGGGTCTCACTGAGTGCAGTGATCTTTACAGGGGTGTGATCTTTGCAGGGTTTGAATCTTTGAAAGCAGTGATTCTGTGTAGGGTGTCATCCATGCCCTGTTACGATAACAGTAAACCTTCAGTGTGCTCCACTCTACCCTCTTCCTAGCCAGCACCCATCTGTTGATAGTTAATATCCAGCCAAGCTCCATTTGAATGCAAGAGGAGGGGCCTTTTTAATTATTCAGACAGCATCTGATGACGCTGTCAATTAAGCCACTGTCTGTGTGATACACTGCTACTGTGACAATTTAATGGCTCCAGGCATGAGACAAGTACTGCTTACTGTTTAAAGACTCACAGGAGTGATGTATTCTTATAGAACACCACCAGTGTCAGAGCACAAACCAACTGACAGGTAATTACGGGAACCTGCTGGTGTTTAACCTTGAAATTGGACAGCATTTCCACCTAGATGCTCCACAAACATCTAAAGCTCAGCAAGGTCACAACTGTGCTATTTGCCTCCACTCTTCTACCCAGCCTATTCTTCCTGGAGTGTTTTTATGCTGGCTATCACTTCCTCCACCTGGTGGGTCTACTTAACGTAAACCTTATGCATCTTCCTCTGTCCCAAGGACCTTATCCAATCGGTCACCCAGCCTTGCCTATTCTTCCTCTCCACCATCTTCCAGTTTTACCTCCCCCTTCCTTGCTATCGCTGCGTTTGTCCAGGGCTCCATCTTTTCCCTACCTGAACTACTGAAGCTATCTCTGTGTTGCTCTCTGTGGCTCCTCTCTCTTTCCCTCCCGTCACCCCTCATCCAGCCTGAGTGACCTTCCTTAAGTGACAAGCATCCTTAAATTTATTCTGTTAATACTTCTATTGACTCTGTTTCATGCAATCCAGTGTGCCTCCAAGTCCTTGTCCATGACCCATCCCCCAACCCAACACCGCTTTAGAGACCTGACACCCAAGTCTTGCACACTTTCACCTCACACTTCTTTCCACTGTTTGGGGTGTTGCTTCATTCAGAATCTCATAGTTACATGTGAAGCCACAGCTACATGTTATATCTTCTGTGACAACTCTACAGATTACTTTGGACAGGTTTAATTGCTTTCTCCATTGGATCCCAAGCTCTATCATTGTCCCTCTATCATACTTTCAAGAGTAACAGCTTTTGTCTTTTCCCTACTAGGTGGAGAGATCCCCAATGTTACAGGTGGATATCTAATGTATGTGACATCCCTCATTCACATTTAATGTGGAACATTCATCATGCTACACGTGTGCACCAAGTGCAAGCAAACTTGTAAGAACTGGACTAAATACCTGGGACGGAAGTGCAGGAAAGCATGGAGGGAGAATCCATTTCACAAGAAGGAGCTCGCACAGACTGTAGGAGAGATGACCAAGCTTGGTCTTGCTGGGAACGCTTGTTCTGTGGAGCGGGGAACAGGAGCCAGAAGGATGGCAGCCAGAGCGGGACTTTCTCCTGGACAGGCAGAGAGGGCCACAGGAAGAGGCGGGAGAAGCCCAAGTCTTCCTTAAGTGTCTGCTCCATTCACCTCATGCCCATAACAGGACACAGGCTACTCCGGGGTAGGCAGGAAACGCCTCACCACACACCGAAGTGAAATGTTATGGAGAACAAGTAAAATTCCAAACAAGTCCCAAAGCCATGCACATGGAGAGAGCCCAAGCTGCATGTGGAGTGTGCCTCAGAGAGGCGTGGCCTTGTCCCCAGAGGCCCTTGGGCCCCCTCACAGGCTCCCTTGGAGCTCAGAAGTCACCTGACATAGCGGAGGAAACTGAACCCCAGAGGGGGACGTCCCTTCCCAGGTCCCAGAATGAGTCAGCAGGAGAGCTGGTCCAGAAACCGCGCGGGACCCAGCCGCCACTGGCCTCTGAGGAGCTCGGCCAGGCTTTGGACAATGGTGCCCACGACACAGTCCCAACCAAGTCCTGTATGCCCTGCACAGGACAGCGCACCAAGGACGGTGGCCTTTTCCTCGACAGCTTCGCACACTTTTATTTCCTCAGGTAAAGCCAGTCAACAGCTACACAGAAAACACATCCTGCTCTCATTCCTGCTGCAGGCCTTTCACAGCTCAGAGCCTGGCTTTGGCGCAGAAGGTCTTCGTGTGTGCGTGTGCGTGTGTGTGTGTGTGTGTGCGCGCGTCCGCGCACGCTCACACTCAGGGCAGTGGGATCCACAGGACAGTCAATCACATGCGTCGGGGACTCAGTTTTGATCGCCGTGTTTGCTGCCAAGGACGACCGCGCACACTTGCGGCGACGTCACGGCCCGGCAGCCGCGGGCCCCGCCGCTAGCTTGAATGGCTAAACACCTCCGCAGTGACTCCACCGCACTTGGGCGGGGGCGTCTCCTCATCACCCACCTGCTGTCATTCTTTGGGGAGTCCAGAACAGTCCAAAGGGCCTAAACTTCAGATTCTAACAGGGCCCTCCAGCCCGCGGAGGGGCCTCCGGGCGACAAGGGGGAAAGGTCTGTGTCTTGGCTCGGCCCCAGGGAGGGACTGGACGCACCCAGCAGCCCACTCAAAGTGTGCGTAAAGGTGGAGACCGGGGCCGGGGGGAAGCTGGGAGGGTAGGAAACGAACGTTACCCAGTGCGTCACTTAACTGTTCTGTAGCAAGCTCGGAGCAGGCCCCTTCCCCGCCTGGACCCTTGGGTCTCTTCATCAAATTGGGAAAATGCAGCGACCCCCGCGCCGGCGGCTGCCTTGGATCCCTGTTATTCTTGTGACTCATGTGTAACGGGAGCTGCCTGTCCTGGCCTGAGCCTGGCGGGCAGCCGCGAGCGGGGCCGCGGGGTCTCCGGGCGGCCAGGGCCCGCGCACCCCGTGAAGGCTGCCCCAGAGGGAGGCCTCCGCTGCTCCTGGGCGCTGGCACCGGGCACCTTTCTCCAGGGCCCCTTCGTGCTGGAGCCCAGGGGGAAAGGATATTTTGGGGAAGGGGCAGGGTAGGGGCGATCGCACAGACGCTGCAGACCCGGGAAACACAAGCAAACGGACCTGGGGAGGCGCATTGTTTTCCTCCTCTCTCCGCCGGCCCCGCGTCGGCTCCTCCTCCTGCCTGCTCCCCGCCCCTCCGGGGATGCCACACTCGCCCTTGCAGCCGCACTCCGTCTCGTGCGCGCGCGCTCACGCTTGCGCCAGGCACGAACTGGTTTGCACGCGCGGCTGGAAGCCCTGTGAGCGTAAGAAGTTCGAGTACCCCGAAAAGTAAAATCTACGCAGCAGCACCAGCCCCTGCGCCCGGCTTCCTGGGGAATCCTCGCCTGTTGGGTCCCTAGAGCGCCCTCATGTGACGCTCTGACGTAATGCACGCAAGATCTGGGGAGGGTGTGAGAACGTTTACCTAGGTGCAGCGCAATGCAAGACGTCACTTTCTCCTTTCCCCTTCAGGGCCTGAGCAAGCCCGCAAGGCTGAGTCGAACGCCGGTGCGGGGTCCTGAGGTTCCAGCAGGCCTCCCCTCGCTGTAAACGGAGGCAGGGCCAGCGGTCCGCAGATGGCCCTGAGTGAGGACGCCAGCTGCCACCTGCAGCGCCCCGGCCGGGCCTCGGCTCTACATGGACAAAGACCGCGTGGGAGGCGAAGCAGCGCCTCGTGCCCCGGGGCCAAGTGCTCAGCCAGGCGTCTGCACGGAGAGTCTCTTGCACTGATGAAAGGTGACAAGGTCCTGCAGAAGCGGTTATTTCCCAAACTGGAATTCAGGGAATACCGGCATCAGAGTCCCTGAAGCGCTGGCTGGAACTGCAGCTCTGTGTCTTCCGCCAGGACGTGTGCCACGGGGACCCAAGACTCTGCCTTTTTCAGTAAGTTTTCCAGCTGAGTTGTACGCACAGTGAAATTTGAGGAACTCCCCTATTCTGTTCAGCTGCCTGAGGTTAGAGACCTGTATTTTAACCAAAGCCTGTAAGCCATAGCCCACGAGGTGACTGCAGACCCTGGCGGGGTAGCACGGGAGGCGTTTTCAGGAAAGGAGGAGAGAGGTCCGCTTACTCCGGAGCAGCTGCATCCACAGCAGATACCAAGAGCCGGCCGAGCTGACCTCTGTCCCAGCCCCGTGAGTGCACCCCAGAGGACAGCGCACATGCGTGGATGCTGAGGGAGCTTTTAAGGTAAAGAACTCGACCTGGAAACTTGGATGTCCAGATGGGAGTGGAGAGGGGCAGCAGAGACTCAACTCACCCCCAGAGGGCGCCAACCCGGATAAGAAGAGCATACCCTTCCGGTCTCTTCACTTCCTCCTAGGAAAATCTTGATCAGGCTCCTCCTCTATGCCTCTTGCGTAATAATATTTGCACCTGCCTCCATAAATGTACTATTGTTACAATTAATTTCAAAGATTTCTGAACTGGTTCCAGAGACAGGTGCTGTGAGCGATGGATATGAAATTACCATTTTCCACACCCTGAGTGTGTGAGGAGAGGAAGTTCCCTGTGGGAAGTGGGGAGCACTGTTGTTTCCTTCCGTCCTCCACCCTCTGTGCCCCACCTCGCACCCCATCATCCTCTTTTTTCTGTTCCACCGATGAGGATTCTGTCTGCGCCTAGAACCAAACAAACATTGCTGGCCTCGTGAGGACACCGAGGCTAATCTCGGGGGCTTCCAAATTGTGTGAAGGTCCTGCGCAGGCCCTTTCTTCTCATACACGGAGCCCTGGGTGGTCGTTCTTGTTCCCCGTTCTTGGCAAGGGACCATTTGGACAGACTGGCTGCTTTCTCTCCAGCAGCTCCCAAGCACCCGAGGGAGCAGTGATGGAGATAAAGGGCCATGACTCTGACCCAGTAGACAGGACTTACACCCACTGTACCACTTTCTAGTTGTGCAACCCTTGTTAATATTCTTAAACTCTCTAAAGAACTCGAAATAATAATCCCTATCTCATAATTGCTACCAGGATTAGCAGAGCGAAGACACATAAATCAGTTACACTGAGTGCGGTACGCACGACCTCTCCATGCAGACTAACTATGGAAATTTAATATTTGGAAGCCATACTTCTCAGTTTATGGCTGGAAGTTCTGTGCAAGACCTTGCTCATTTTATTTTATATTTCCCCATTTATTCTCCATTATCACTCTAACTCCCCTCTCCTTTCTTCCTCCATGGAATTTCACCTGTGTCCTTAGAAGTTTTAGTATCTCTGAAAAATACACAACTTTGCTTTGTGTGCATATTAAATTTTAATATCCTCAAATGGTATTGAGCTATAAATCGCTTTCCACCTTTTGCACTCAACACTGGGGTTTTTAGAGGTATCCTCATTACTGTTCGCTGGAGGTTCCCAACCTCACTATGCAACAGAATCACTTGGGGAACACTTGGAAAACACCAATACCTATACCTCAATTCCAGTGATTCTGATTTAATTTATATAGGGCGGAGGCCAAGCTTCAGGGCATTCTGAAGCGCAGCCAGGACTGAGAGCTGCTGTATATAACTTGAGTTTGTAGGCTGAGCTTTTTCCAGCAGGAAGAGGGCCCAGGGTCCACCTTTTTCTGGCCTCAAAAAGTCTCTGTAGAAGATCAAGTCAGGATGACTCAAAATATAGTACCCAAAGGAAAGAGAAGAGAGGAGAGAACAACTTGTATATGAAGTATGTAAGGAAAGGAAGGTACCAGACCTCTGACTCTGCCCTACCTATGAAAGCCATGAGGCGGCATGTTGATTTGTCCTTCTGTCATTCCACGGCCCATTTTTCACTGAACACCTCTATGTACTAGGTATTCCACCAGGTTTAGCAAGTACAGCAGTGAATAGAGCAGGCATCATCTCAGTTCCCGATGGTTGTCACACCTGTTAAGATGTAGCTTCTCAGGCTCCATTCTCAGAGCTCATGATGTGATACATGTGCAGCCTGGTGCAGGACCTGCATCCTGGACAACTGCAAGAGGTGCTATTGAGGCCTATGGTCCTGGGCTGCTTTTGAGGAAATTGGTCCAGCCTGTTTATAAGAATCAGATTCTTTTAAGCACATTTGGTGAATTTACCACATTATCTCCTCTGCAAAAGTAGGGTCCCTTTTCCTATGTGTCTTCAACAATGATCACAGTGTTGGAATCCTCTTTGCTTTCCCAGGCATTCCTATCTCTAACACCACAAGCCGTGAGTCCTTTGGTTGTACATCACATTATAAAATGGCTATAGAGACATTGTATCTCTGTACAAGGGGGTCTCTGTAAGGTAGGCCTTGCCCTTGCACAAGAGTAAACTGAGTGTGTTGGCCAAGGGATTATGCCAAGGTCATAACCTCCAGGGTTTAACTCCACATCCATTTGCTTCAGAAAGTGGCTACTCACCATCATGTCACATGGGAGGGGAGTCCAAGACAGTCCTCACACATCCTCTTAGCTCTTAGAGAGCCCAGTAGCACTTCTAAGTGCTGTGAGAAGCTCCCGCCTGCTCAGTCAGTGTGCCAGTTATTAGCTAGATGCTACACTCTTCCCATACACAAAGTGTACAAAGGATGCCCTGTTATTGGCACACTAGTCATTGGTTGGTGAATTGGAAAAGTGTTTTCCAATTTCTAGTTTCTACTTTCACAAATTGGAGTCCAGCTTCTTTGCATCTTCTGAAGAAGACGAGTGCAAAATTCCCTTTAAAATGGATTCTAAGAAATTACTGTTCAAATTTTAATGTAGAGATATGCTGAAAGAATAACACAATAAACACCAAAATATCCACTGTCTAAAACAGTGATGGCAAACCTTTTAGAGCTTTCAATGATACAAACAGTCGACTGCAGTGTGTGTGCCGCAGTTTTGCCACCACTGGCCTACACTGTTATCATTTCACCATCTTTACTTTATTTCACATAAATGCAGAGCTACTTCTACATTCATTTGTCTACTATCCATGCTTTCTTCTTACTTAAAAATGACTTGCAGACATCATGACATTCACTTTTAAATGCGTCAATGCATCAGGATATGCTTCTGTGTCATTTTCCATGAGAAGTAATAAGAACATCTGACAGCCAGCCCTCCACTTTCCCTAGCTGTTATAAGATTGTCTTTCATACATTGTTGCTGTTGTTTCCTCTCAGTCAGGATCCAGTTGGTCATGTACCTTCTCTGGTGTAATGTTTTTTGGCTCACCTTTTTCTGTCCTTGTTTGTGTCTTTTGGAAGTGTTTGACCACTTGGTGTGGTATCAACACTCTGGGTTCATCTTGGTGTTTTCTTCATGGTACATGATTTCTCTTTTCCTTCCACTCACAGTAAACTGGGAATTAGGCTTCAGAACGTGACTATGTTCAGGTTTTAGGCAGAATTCTTCACTTGCATCAGCCTCTGTAGGTATATTTAGCAGACATCGGTGAGCATTTATCTGAGCATATACCTGGAAGTGAAGTTTTGGGTCACTGGGCATATAGATGTTTATTTTCCCCACACAGCTGTCCCAGTCAATAGTCTGTTATGGTTTAGGTCTAGAGTGTCCCTTACAAAAGTTTTTTGTGTTCAGAGGCGGGACATTTGGAAGGTGATGGTACTCATCCCTGCTGACCCACGGGGGACTTGCCTTTGGAGGATGTGACTCCCTCCTGACTGCTCCCTCTCTCTGCATCCTAACTGCAGTGAGGTGAGCATCTTCCCTTCACCCAGCCCTTTTGCAGTGATATTTCTGCCTTCAAACCAGCTGACTGTGGACTAAACCCTCTGAATCCTCAAGCCAAAATAAACTTTTCCTCCTTTAAGTTGAGGGTATTAGGCAATGTGTCCAGTGACTGCAATGTGACTAATATGCACTCTCTCTGATATGATATAAAAGTGCCTTGACTCCTATGATAGAAAAGTCCTTACCATCATTTGAAATCATCATTCTGGTTGTGTTTGCATCAGACTGTAATTTTAAGTTACCTTTCCCTCATGGCCTTTTGCTTCTCACTTACCATGTGCTTGTTGGTCATTTAGCTATGAATTGCTTAATTCTTTTTGGTCGTTTTCAAATTGATTTATCTTTTTAAAAAATTGATTTGTAAGACTGGACGTGAATCCATTTGGTTGTACGTATGTAACACTTCTTTCCCTCTGTGGTTTTATTTTTACAGTATAAATGGTTGCCTGGGATGAATATAAGTTCCTAATTTTAATCAACATATCCAACTTTATTGGTCAATTCTGTTTATGTCTACTGGTTTTAGATCTTTTTTTCAAAAATCTTTCCCTGCCCCTGAAACATAAAATATATTATCTTATAGGAACTCTGTTTTTTCTTTTATATTAAGATCCATAATCCCCATGGAATCATTTCTTGTTTGGTTGGTTTGTTTTGTTTTTCAGTATGGTGAGATTCAGGAGTCAATACTATTTTTTCCCATTGACTGGAACATTGTGTTAGAAAGAGCCTCCCCTCTCCACCACCTTACTGTGTTCCTCTTTGTCACAAACGACAGATTCATATATGCGTAGTTCTCATTCTGGACTTTGTTTTGCTCCATCGGCTTATATGTGTCTGCTTGTACCAAGAATACCATGTTGTCTGAATTACTACAGTTCAGTAACTCTTAGTATCAGTAGTGTATGAGAATGATGGAGACCACTAGGAAGCAGCTCTGGGCAGGATTTAATATTAACCAATTGGTTTTCCATGTTTACTTGTGAGTCTGTCCAAGGCCTAGGCCCCTTGTCTGGAGATGGGCAGGGGACTCATAGTAAGTGAACCTCTATGAGTCGCTGGTCCCAACTGAGGCCTGTAATGGTGGGTGAAGTCATGAAGCCTCAAAGGACAAGATAAGGCCACAGCTAAGGACACCTGGCTCCAAACTTAATTAACTAGATAAAGACTGTCTCTGCAGGCATCTCACTCCTGAGGTGAGGCCTTCCTGGAGATAGTACAGTTCTCCTAAATTAACATAATGTATTACTTGGAGAAGTCCTTGAGCAGACTCCCAAGGTCCTGCTCAGATTCCCATGCTTTCTTCAGTATCCTTCTCCCTTTTTGAAAACCAAATAAATACAGGTTGCCCAGAGAAGTTCTGGGTCTTACCCTCAGAGAATCTCAAATTCTCTTAGAGGGTTTTAAACCTCATGGAGCCCTAAAATCATACCACTTGACTCTTTTATTTAAGCCTTCACTGTGCACTTGTTTGGGAGATTATGGGCCAGATCAGTCTGCAATAACTAAGGGATGATATTAACATGTTAGGAGAACCAAGTTGTTCTTCCCTTTGAAGACTGTTTTTGCTATTGGGTAGAGAGGTTTGAATTCCATATCTTTCTATATAAATCTTAGAAAGGGATTTGATCATTTCTACTAAAATCCACTGGATTGTGATGAAGACTGTATTGAGCTCTCTTTGGAGAGAAGCCCTGATAACATCTGTACATTTAAATCTTCTTGCATTTTTCTTGATAATGCTTTATAGTTTTGCCTAATTCATTATTAATTCTAATAGTTGCAGATTATTTTGGATTTTCTAATTAAACAATCGTATGTGAATAACGGTAATTGCTTCTTTTTCAGTTCTTGACCATTTTATTCTTTATTCCTGATTATATCAATTGTTCAGCTCTGCATGACAGGACTGAATGGCTGTAACACAGCTGTGATATTGTGATGATCTCTAGCACTCTTTCCACTCCAATTTCAGGAAGAAATTTTCAATATTTTATCATTTTCAATATTTCAAATTATTTTTTAAATAAGAAAGCTCCCTCCTTTTTAGTTTGCTATGAATTTTTATAGTCTGACTTAACCTTGAATTTTACTAACTTTTTACTTATATCAACATGATTATCTGATTTCTCTTCCACTGATGTACTGATTTATATTGGTGATTTTCTAATGTTAAATCAACTGTGACTTGTTAGAAGAGAAAACAAGTTGCTCATGATGTATTTTTTTAAAGTATATTTGGTTTAAATTGTCAGGTACATTCATACAGAAATTGGATCCATTTTTGTAATACTCTTTTCTGGTACTAAGTCTTGCCAGCCTAAGGATATGAGAGGTATCTCTGCAGCTTCTATCCTCAGAAAGTTTATTTGATTAGAGTTCAGTCTTTTTTAAATGTTTGGAAGAACTTTCCAGTGTAACTATCTGGGCCTGGAGTTTTCTTCATGAAACTATTTAAATTATGGATTTATTGTTTTTAATAAATATAGAATTATTTGAATGTTTATATCTTCTTGTGTTTTTCTAGGACTTTATCAATTTTGCCTTTTGCTGCCACTCTTATTCACTAAGAAAAGTTCATCATAACCTATCATGGTTTCTTCAAGCTTAGTTTCCTTTCTTATACTGCCTATTTGTGCTTTGTATTTCTTTTCCTTTTAGTTATTCTTTTCTAGGGGTTATCAATTTTATTAGTCTTTTGAAGGGAAAAAATACATTTTGGTTTTGCTAATTATTTTCTTTAGAAAGTTTATTTTCCATTTCATGAAATCCTGCCCTTATCTTTATTATTTCCTTTCTTCTGCTTTCTTTGGATTTTATTTGCTCTTCTTTTGCTGACCTTTTTGAAAGATATTTAAACTCATTTTCTGGCCCTTTTTCATTCATAATTTATGCACTGAAGGCTCTAGCTTTCCTCTTCTCTGCTTCTGCAGCGCTCCACTTTTTCCAGAGAGAGGAGAGGGGTGAGGAGGAGTCCTTCTCAGGACAGGTGTGTCTGGGAAGCTCCTCCTTCCTGTGCCCCACGGGCCCTGGGTCTCTACTGCAGCTCCATGAGGCCTAGTGACCTTCAGTGTCCTGAGAGGGGGCTTTCACTTGGGTCTCCTGTCTGTCCCTGGTGTTACACCTTTTCAAGTCAGTGGAGGAGGAGACAGCAGGCGGGGGAGGGGCAAGGAGCTACAGCCCGCATCATCATTCCATTCAAAGCTTTTCTAACTCCCCATGTGACTTTTTATTTGATCCGTGGATCATTTAGAAGTATAAATAGGGCTCT